AGTAGCTGTTTGTCAAAGGCCCAGAAGAACCTAGCATCACATTCTGGGGAAGTAGAAGGGTGGAGAATGTTTTTGACTTCCCTGAACCATGAAGACCTGAAATAAATCCTGGGCCCTAAACCCTAAACCCTAAACCCTAAACCCTAAGCCCTACCGGATGGCTGGAAAGTAGTATGACACTTCCGAGAAGGTTCTTCTTCAGTGGGTTTTGCACTGCCTGCGCTCTTTGGGCCTTCGGCTGACACCCTCAGCTGAAAAACAACCAGGGTTACTGTGAAGGAACTTGTTTTCAGTGACCAATATGGAAACTAGTATATGTATGTGCATACATATATGTGCATATATATGTATATATATATGTACATATATATATATATATATATGGGCACCCCCCCCCCCCCATGATCTAGTTTTGCTTTGTCCCTATAAAAACCCTCGTAAATACCGATTAAAATGACATGCTGGCTATGCTAGGCGATGTCCTGTTTTTGCACGTCTAGTCCTATGCGAGAAAACCTGTAAATAGTGAAAAGCGCGTGTGTTTAGCACTACTTCCACATCACCACATAAAAAAAAAACCCAAAAACACAGGAAAATGCAATTTGGTAAACATGTCTATGAATTATTTGCATAGGACAGGCTTATAAACACAGAATTGTATGCAAAAAACACTTCTTTTTTGCAGAATTTGCAAATTTTGACACAAATCCAAAAATCCAAAAATCCAAAAACTCAAAACCATGGAGCCGGGAGGCCGCCTTTTTTGGATTTTTTTGGTTTTCTCGAGGTTTTTTTGGTTTTTTTTCGAAAAATACAAAAAAAACCATGGTTTTTTTTGGATTTTACTTGCTCCTGGCCTCAAAAACCTAAAAAACACATGGTTTTTTTTTGGATTTTGAGTGAAAATCCAAAAAAACCCTCGTGTTTTTTTGGATTTCAGGTGCTCCTGGTCTCAGAAACTAAAAAAAGCACATGGTTTTTTTGGATTTTCACTCAAAATCCAAAAAAAAACCATGTGTTTTTTAGGTTTTTGAGGCCAGGAGCAAGTAAAATCCAAAAAAAAACATGTTTTTTTTTGGATTTTTCCAAAAAAAAACCAAAAAAACCTCGAGAAAACCAAAAAATCCAAAAAAGGCGGCCTCCCGGCTCCATGGTTTTGAGTTTTTGGATTTTTGGATTTGTGTCAAAATTTGCAAAAAATGCTTTTCTTGTATAAAGAATGTGTATTGTTATACGTTGTTTCTGCTAATGTGACTGCCTTGCACACACACAGAGAAAAGCACACAAACACACCCACCATTCGTTTTTTTTTCAATTCAGCCTATTCGGTATGCAGGGCGTGGCGTTAACATGTAAAGTTCCATTAGATTTAAGTACGAATGAGGCTTAGAAGAGGATGTCTTGGGATGTGGCGTCTTAATATAAAAAGTAAAAAAAAAAGAAATAGAGAGAGTTTCTTAGGGTGTGGTTCTTTTGAGGATGTGGACCTGCAATTCAAAAGTCTAATTGGACTTAAAAAAGAGTGGGGCTTCGAAGAGGATGTCTTGGGGTGTGGCCTCTTAATTTAAACGTCTATTTAAGTGGAATCACAAAGGAAGTCCAGTTGAGGATTTCTTAGGGTGTGGTGTTTTAGTGCAAACCTCAAATTACATTTCATTACGAAGCGGGGCCAGAGGAGACTTTCACAGGGTGTGGTCGGTAAAATAAAATTCCAAAGAGGTAGTAACGAATGAGGCTTAGAAGGGCGTGGCCTCTTAATTGTTTTACTTGGTTTGGTTTTACGAACGAAGCTGTGGCTTTACCATACACAGGTCTTAGGGTGTGGCCTTTTAAATTCTGTCCAAAGGGGTGTGGCCTCTAAACTTAAAATTCAATTTAAGTGGAATTCCAAACGAGTCCAGATGAGGATTTCTTAGGGTGTGGCGTTTTAATACAAACCTCAAATAACATTGTAGTATGAAGCGAGGCCAGGGGAGAATTTCATAGGGTGTGGTCTGCAAAATAGAATTCCAAATAGGTATTAACCAATGAAGCTTAGAAGAGGATGTCTTGTGGCGGGGCCTCTTAATTTGTTTGTTTGACTTGGGTTTAATTTACTAACGAAGCTATGGCTTTATCATATACAAGTCTATTGACATTTCACTAATAGGCACCAGAAGAGGATTTCATAGGGTCTAGCGGTTAAATATGGAATTGTAAGTACATTCAAATACGAATGGGGGCTCATGATATAAATTTCTGTCCAAGAGTTACATACGAACCTAGCCTAGGTCAGAACTTCTTAGGGTGTGGGCTTCTTACCTAGAATTATAAACTTCTTACGAGATTCTGTTACGAACAGGCCCCAGAATGGTGTGGCTTTTTTTAATACAAGCATCTTGGCAAATCGAAAATAAGTCTAATTACAAACGAAGGTCTAATGAGGATTTCTTGGCGTGTGGCTTTGTAATACAGAATTCTAATTCATCTTCATTACAAATAGGGGCCAGAAAGGGATTTCATAGGGTATGGTCTGCAATATAGAATTCTAACTCGGTTTCATTGCGAGGAGGATGTCCTGGGGTTGGCCTCTGAATATACACTTGCTTTACCTGGGTTCAATTACGAACGAAGCCCAGAAGAGGATTTCTTAGGGTGTGGGCTTACAATATGAAATCAAATTGCGTTTCATTACGAATGGGGCCAGCGAAAGATTTCACAGGGTGTGGGAAAAACAAAAATGTTCTAAATAGGTATTAATCAATGAGGCTTAGAAGAGGATGTCTTGGGGCTGAACTTATAATGTTTTTTTACTTGGGTTAATTACGAACGAAGCTGTGGCTTTATCAGACACAAGTCTACTGAAATTTCATTAAGAGGGCCCAGAAGAGGATTTCATAGGGTGTGGCCTTTAAGTATAGAATTCTTTTCGTAGGGTGTGGGCTTCTTCTGTAGAAGCATTTTCTCAATAAAATAGGAAGGAAGCCCAGATGAGGATTTCTGAGGCTGTAACCTCTGCATATAAAGCTCTTGTGAGATTTTGTTACGGACAGGCAGGCCCCAGAAGAGGATTTCATAGGGTGCGGCTTTTAATTGGCAAATTTAGATTTCTAAAAAAATTTTACTACGAATGAGGCCAGTGGCCTTTTAATTTTCATTCCGACTTAGGTTTAAATCTCGCTTCGATGGGCCCGAAAGGCCTTTCGACCTAGATCATGGGGGGGGGGGTGAGCATATATATATATATAGATACAAACAGAGAGAGAGAGGGAGAGAAAACTATGTGGTTTCATCAGTGTGGTAGCTTAATCTTGGTTCCTCAGCAGCAACCCAGCCCCATCAGTTCTGATCCACATAATGTATTTTGCCGCGAGCTGAGGTGAAGGCTAGTCCAACGACGACAGTGGTGTCATCGAGCTTCCCACCTGGGAAAAAGGGGCTCATACCCACGGCGAACCCGTACAAGTAGAAAGCAGACGCTGCATACATCCACGTGAACCCAAACCAAGAACTGCGTGCCTCGAAACGATAGGCCTTCTGAATGTGCAGCCAGAGCAAAGGGTGTAATGATGTCCTGGCGAGCGGAAGCCGGGCGGAAACCTGTGGTGCCTACGCTCTGGTCTTTGCATTCTGCATGTGCACGTACATGCTGGTTGTAAACAAGGAAGTGTAAATCATGCATGTGAGACCATCATCATCAGTATGCTTCAATACAGTTGTGCTTTTCATTATGGCGATGACGATGATGAGGCTGATGGGAAACTGATGATGATGACGACGAAAACGCTTATGATCCCCATGTGTTATTCTTGGCATCAGCTAAAAGCACAACGAATAATGAATGTTTTTGCATTGTTACCTACGTGTCATTCATCGTACTACTGCCATGATATATTCATCTATACACATACACACAATGTAATGTTAACCTAGTATTACTAAAGCCCCTAACATTAAAGTACGCCAGGTGTCCCGGCCGCAATAATAAAGCCCTGGAAATAAAGTACGCCAGTCGGGGCTTTTTTTTTGGGGGGGGTCCGTTTGCCTTTCTGATCCTCTCTGATTCTCTCTGATCCTCTCTAATTCTCTCTAAGGAAAGGAATCCTGAGTGATTCTCTCTGATCCTCTCTAATTCTCTCTACGGAAAGGAATCCTTATTCGGGGGGGTTTGATTGAAGGGGGGGGGGTTTATTATTACTAGGTCAAGATTATTTGTTTTGTATACTGCGCCGGGCCGATAGTTCGACCGGCCAGCTTCGAGAACTTGCGCCACGCGCAACCCCCCTAACTGCCCCTAACGGCCTTTGCCTTGGGCACTTCTCCGAAACTTAACAAAAAAGGAGCGCGTATCTAAACCCTAATACTAATTACTCCGCTGGCCGGCGTAGGGCAAACGAACCGAGAACTACGCCGCAAGTGCCTTCTGCATAGCTCGAAACTTATGGCCCGTGGATGCATTATGCATATGTATGTATTTCACTTTCAATATATCTTAGACGTATGAGAGACACGCACACACAGGCATGGAAATGGCCTTGTTGTCTTCCTGGTGCCCAATGCGCTGCGCCTACACATCAGGACATCTCATTGAGCGGAGCTCATGTTCAGGAACTGGTATGAAGTTACCATAATATGGATACTTTGCAGATCACAGGGTTGTTGCGCTAACGCGAGGAAAACAGCCGCGAAGACATGGGGTTTCCCTTCACAGGCGTTGCAGGGTTTAGGGTTTGGGGGGTTTTAGGGTTTCGGGTTCAGGGTTAGGTTTCAGGGTTTAGGGTTCAGGGTACTCTTGGGGGGTTTCTCGTATGGACTCCATCGTCTTTTTGGGGGTATATGATTTTCAGGGCGAAATTACCCCTCTTCCGGGAAATATCCAAATGGGGTTTTACGAAAACAGGGGACCCCCCCTATATAGATTCCTAACTAGTAGGATCCTCGTATAAGAAGGACCCAAATAAAGTACCCCTAATTTCGGAACCCCCCCCCCCCCCCCCCCCCCAGAGCAAACAGTTGCGTGGTCAGGCCTGCTTGGCGATACTCGTAGCAAGACCACTTAGATGCGGGGTGACCTCACACTCAAACAGTCGCCCACAATTTCAATGGAGGTGAAAGTAGGCCCCAAATGGAGGTAAGTATGCCCCCGGCCGGTGCCCCGACGCTCCAGGCCTTTGCCAGCTGCTGTGCCACAATGGCTTGCACCTCAAGCAGCTGCCGTGTTCCTTAAGCCGTATACCCTACAAAACCCTACAAACCGCATTATGTTCGTGTCGCGGCCGCCTGGTGATCAAACAGGTTGTCGAAGACCCCATCGGTCGCCGCAACAACCTCAAAGGCAGACCCTCACCACCTCACCAGCAGCATGTGCTCCAGCGCACTTCATCCTGAGCCACTCGCCAGGTCGCCGGTTCTAACGCGAACGCGGATGAAGTCGGGTGCCTGGCATGCAAAGTCTTTGGCTCTCGCTTCCGGGTCTTTTTTGGACGTGTGATCCCCCGGCCCTAAGCCCATCGAAACTGCAAATCCAGCAGCCTCGACAGGCAAACTCCCGCTGCCCAGCTGATATGGACAGTTGAAGTAGTGGGTCTGGTCACTGGACCTGGCAGGATACCCCCTGTGGCACATTTGAAGGCGGCAGTGCAAGGACTTAGAGACGCATGATATTCTTGCAAAAACGCCACCAGGGCTTTCAAAGGCCCACAAGACCCGAAAGGCCGCCTGAAGACGACCCGAGGAAACAGCAACGGCTGATCCGATCCCGGCGGTGTCCGTAGCGCCGGTCGCAGAAGCATCGCCCCTGCAAGGATGGGTTTAAGGCATTGGCAGACCCTGAACCCCCTGAACCCTGAACCCTAATAAAGGTTTAGGGGTCATAAGTTAGAGTCATCAGGATCCCAAGATGCTCATGGTTGTGGCTGGAGGGTTTGGGCTTCCGAGTGTCCGACACGAAATGTACACAGTGCCTTTTAACGCCTAACCCACCTTGCCACACCGTAATGACTAAATATTCTCCAGTCCTGAACCCCCAACCCCAAAACCCCAAGCCCAAGATCTCTTCTCAGTCTTGAACTCCAAAATCCTAAACAAATCTTGTCAAACCCTCTGCAATATTGCCCAAGATGACCCTCTAAACCCCCCGACCCTCCACAAGAAAAGAAAATCAGTGAAAACCCTTCCGTTGAACTACGCCTCGTGGGCAACCCCTTTAAACCCCAAACCCTAAAACCCCAAACCCTGAAACCCTAAACCCTGAAACCCTAAACCCTATAAACCCCAAACCCTAAAAACTCGCGGTGCCTGAGTCGCCCAGGTTGAGGATGCCCATGGTGGAGCCATTCAGCTGCCCCAAGAGGGCCTCAGGGTTTGGGGTTTCGGGTTGCAAATAGGCCCTAAACCCGAAACCCCAGACTATATGTGTATATATATAAAGATATGTATATATATATATATGTGGGTTCTATATGGGTCATACCGGGTTGATTGTTTGGGGGTTTGGTTTCAGGGTTTTGTGGTCAAAGGGTTTGAGGCGTCTGAAGGCTCCACCTCGTAAGGGAGAGCTTGGGGGCTTCGGATGCTTCAGAGTTGTTTCGGGGCTTCGGGTTTAAGGTTTATGGGCTGTTGCTTGGGACGTGTGCCAGGCACCCGAACAAAGAGCGAAGCAAAAAGCAAAACTAAGGCGAGGGCTGTGGAGCCTCCTTCTAACTTCTCCTCCAAGATCTGGTGACTTGCCTTGAGCAAAGCCTGGCAAGGGAATGAGGGAAGGAGGTGCCCTACATATACCCTTTAAGGGAATCATACAGGGCCCTCATTCTCTCATTCCCCACTAAGAACCACAGAAATGTCACGGAATGCCAATTCTTGTTGAGGCGGGGCTTTGGGTGTCAGAGTTGAGACGCGGCGGAAAGCACAGCAAGCAAACCCTGACTCCCCTAAACTGTAAACCCTAAACCCTAAACCCCAAACCCGAAATCCCTCCCTGTGCCTCTTGCAGGTCACTCTCATCCTCCGTGGAGCTGATGGCCTGAACCCCTCCACAGGCTGCCCCAGGTCCATGGCAGATCCCAAAACACGCGGCATGAAGGCTAAACCCGAAACCCTATAAACCTTATAAACCCTTTCAACCCTTTCAACCCGATAAACCCTATAAACCCTATAAATCACCATTTGAACCCTACAAACCCTCAACCCCAAGACACCGCTGTCATGTGTCCATGACCTAAAGCCTAAAGCGTAAAGCCTAAAGCCTAAAGCCTAAAGCCTAAAGCCTAAACCCTAACCCTAACATGCATGAATTGGCCTCCAGACAAAGTCGAAGAAGGCGTCGTGCAAACAGTCCCGGGTCAACGCCTCGGGGCAGCCGCTTCAAACAAGCTCTAAATGTGCCTCCTTTTGTTGAACATGGGGTTTTCCGAAACTAGGGGTACCCTTTCTGGGGGTGTCTTTAAGGGGAGTCGATTCTATTTGGGGTATAAAAGTGGTACCCCCCATTTTGGGAAATGCCCATATGTTCTAGAGAAGAGAGAGAGATGTATATATATATATATGTGTGTGTGTGTGTGTGTGTGTGGGTAGGTAGAATCCCCGCTTCCAGAGTGCAGAGCTAATCAGAGCTCATGACCATCGGTCGAGCAGAGCGGCCCGCACCCCGCGTGCTTCCAGAAACGCTTTGACAGCGCAAGTCCATCAGAAGCGATGCTCTGCCCCAATCACGCAAAGTAAGGGATGCGAGATGGGCAGAACATGGCAGAATCAGAAGAGGGGTTTTGCAAACCGAACCACTTCTCCCCCCCCCTCCAACCTTCCCCCCCCGAACCCGGCACCCCCACCCGGGACCGACCCAGGGTTGACCTGCTTTTGCTGCGTCCTACGTGCACATGCGTGATCTGCACGAACTCGGCCATGGATCTCCAAAACAGAGTAGCAAATAGCCAAGAACCCAAATTTGCCTAGCATGTTAGGGGTTCAGGGTTTTTAAGGGGTTGGAGGCTTTGGGTTCTCCCTGATCGCTGACGACACTTCAAGCACATGAGGCCTTCCCTTCTCACGCCGCATGCGGGCAACAACGGCACGGAACTTGAACAAGTTCAGCCGACTCAGCCCCGAGTCCCCCAGTGAGCACGTTAGCCCATTGTCCCACTGTCATATACCGGAGTACGTCGGCCGAAAAGGACTCCCGGCGTGGCCCGTAGTCGGACCACCCCCCCACGCAGCGTGCCCCGCACCCGGCCAGCGGTGCGCAAGTGGTGGCAGCGGATGAGCCGCACCAGCCTGTGGGTGGGGCGTCGAAGGTGCGCAGACAGCAGCACGGGGCGAGGCGTCCCGAAAAAGCCTCAACCCGGAACCCTACAAACCCTCAGCCAGCCTGTAATAGCCTTAAGCGCTCAATTCGTAGAAACCACCAAAAAAAACCGCGAATAACAGGCAACCCTCAACTAGACCCCTGATGATGCAGGGTGCTTTATTTATGAACTCTTTGCGGATTCTCAATTTTCTCTTCACCACAAGTTGGAGTGTTCCTATCAATACTTCTCATATTCCGAATAGCCAGAGACCGCAGGAGCTGCGTGCAAAGCCAAGGACTGTGAGGTTTGGAGTCATGCAGTGGAGTGGGCACATCTCAAGCTGATGCGAAGCTGATGCGGCAAAGCTTTACGGACCGGATCGTTAATTTTCGTAGTTATCTTCTGAATGTTTTACAGCAGCAGAATGTACATTGGAAATCAGGCCAATGGCGTTCGCTTGGAGCAGTGGGTTCCTTTCCCTGTTCCACATGTAGTGGTGTTACAATGCAACGGCTGATTGGTAGGCAGGAAGCTTGCTCGAACACACTTGCCTTACAGCCTTGTTCCCTACCAAGGCAGCTTGATCAGGAGTGGACCGAGTACAGAACTCGGCACGGACAGAGGCGCTAAAGCGTCAAGCATCCTCTGCATTCTTTCCAGCAGTGGCGACAATTCTGGAGTGGTCCGTCCTGACAGCTCGCATAAACCCTAAACCCTAAACCTAAACCCTTAAACCCTTAACCCTAAACCCTAAACCCTAAACCCTAAACCCTAAACCCCTGAGCTGCCCCGCCACTGTCGGCCCAGCCCCCCACGCCGTCGGCCACGCCAAACGCGCGGCTCGCTGGACAGGCCTAGGGGTTGAGGGTTACTACAGGGTTTAGGGTTTAGGGTTTAGGGTTTAGGGTTTAGGGTTTAGGGTTTAGGGCTACTCTAGGGTTTGGGTTACTGTAGGGTTTGGGTTTAGGGTTCCTCTAGGGGAACTCTAAGGGGTACTCTAGGGATACTGTAGGGTTGATAGGGTTGGGCTTGAGGGTTACGAGGGGTAAGGGGTTGAGGCTTACTACGGTGTTCTTAGGGCTTGTCAGGGTTTCTATAAGGTTTATTAGGGTTTACTAGGGTTTGTAGGGTTCATTTTGGTAAAGAGGATTTGTTGGGCGTTGATGCGGTTTGAAGGGCAGGGTTTTCAGGGCAGGTTTTGAGGGTTTACAAGGTTTTTTGAGGCCTTTAATTAGGGTTCATAGGGTGTACAGGGTGTTTAGGGCTGTTCGGGCCTTCTCAGGGTTTACTATAGGGTTCTTAGGGTTTATAGGGTTTAGGGTGGATGGGTTATTGTTGCGTGATTACGGTGTACTCGGTTGTTAAGGTCTTCTTGGGTCTATTGAAGTTTGTTGGGGTCATTAGGGTCTACAAGGTTTTTAGGGTTGAGAGTCATTAGGGCATACAATGGACTTATCGTGGTTTATAGGGTTATTGGGGTTGGAGTACAGGGTTGAGGGTTCAGAGAGCTTCAGGGCTTTTCAGTTTCTTGGGGCTGAGGGTTATTAGGCTGCTCAGCGCTTGTCGAGTTTGGGTCTGCAATACATGACCTAGGCCTGTGCTATGATTATGGAATCCTTGTTTTGGAGTCTGGGTACGGAAGCACCCTTGCTGAAGGGTGTGGGTGGGGGGGGGGGGGGCTTTGGGGCTTTGGGGTGCTGAGTCACACAGATGGCGTTTTAGTTGCTAGCCTAATCTTTCGTTCGGGCGCCGGCTCAAAATCACACCTGAACCACTCCTCGAGCAAGAATCCTTTCCCTAAGGTACAAACCCCCAAACCCGAAAACTGTCACGAGCAGTGATGCTGGCAGGGCCCTGTTAGTAGAAGAAAGCATCAGCGCGGTCGGGAGTGTGAGCTGATTTTTTTTCGGGGGCGCACCTCTGTTTGAATTGCCCCCTTTCAGAAGCTGTGGGCAGCACGAAGTAGCCGTCTTCCCCTCCTTTCTTCACCTTGATGCTGTGAGGGACTTGAGGGACACCCAGCCCAAAACCGACTGGTGCGGAAGATTGCCTTAACTTGCCAAAGCTTGCTGAGTCAGGCATGTGCCTGCAGGCCCAACTTGAAACCCCGTCCTTTACTGCAAAGAATGCAGCTAGAAGAACCTCGCCTGCTTAGCTCCACCTCAGTCATCAGTCAAAGCAAGCAGTGCATCTTGCATCTGTCCCTATCATGTTGAGAAGCCCTACTAGCCCCACATGCGCACACCCTCAGGCCTAAACCCCCAAGCCCTCGTGTGACGACTTCAGCTTCTCCCTCGGAAGACTCAGCAATCTAAGGTTGGAAACATGAGCCCTTAGATATAAGAAAGGGACCCAAACTAAGGGCCCATACGCGCATACTTGGAACCCAATGAATGCATGCAAAACCATCAAATGCCTGGAGCCGAAGTAACCCTGAACATCAAAAGCCGCGGACACCCTAGAACTGCAGACGCAACTGATCGAATTCTCTCCAACACATGATTTAACAGGCATGCTCCAGCGGACCATTGAAACCTAAACCCTAAACCCTAAACCCTAACCCCTAAACCCTAAACCTCTTGGGTGCCCCGGCTTTCTCCGGATGGGGCAGGCAAGCTGCTGCGAAGGCAAGGCGCAGACCGCCACTTGCTCCTGACCAGCTGAGGGTTTAGAGTTTCGGGTTTAGGGAGTTTCGGGTTTAGGGTTTAGGGAGTTTAAGGTGCAGGGTTTAGGGAGTTTAGGGTGCAGGGTTGCTCTGGCTCTCTGTCAGAATGGTGATACCCAATATTTGCACAAAATAGCCATTCATAATGCTTGCTCTACGTCCCGATTTAGGAACCCCCCCCCCCCCATATAGAGTCGAGGGTTCCGCGAAGCCCATGAAACCCATGAACCCCATGAACCCCAAAAAAGCCCACAAAGCCCATAAATCCCCAAACCCGCCCTGAACCCCACATACCCTGCATCGGGCAGACTGAAGATTCGGGACAGGGAGCTTTGAGGCGACTGACCAAAACCCATGAAGCTAGAATCCTAAACCCTATATAGCCTTTTGACTTTACCCTTGAACTCTGAAGCACGTCCTTCATCTACCACTTTGAAGTCAGAGAAGCTCTTCTTCTCCTGGGGGCAGTGATGCCGCGACCCTTCCATAGCAACCGCAAGCACCAAACTGCAAACACCCAGTCCATGATCGCAAACCGTACTGCCAAATCCTTTGCTTTCAGTCTCGTAACCCTAAACCCTAAACCCTAAACCGTGGAAACTGGAAACCCTAAACCCCAACCCCGAACCTCTAAAACCACCAACCCCGAAACTGATCTAGCACAAGCCAGGAGGAGACCGGAACGCGAAGAGCTGGACCAAGCTCTGCAATCAGCGCTTTTGGGGTGTGGTTCGGGACTTTAGGCACTTTAGGGCTTGAGGTTGAAAGGGTTTAGGGTTTAGGGTTTAGGGTTCAGGGTTTAGGGTTTAGGGTTTCGGGTTTAGGGCCAGGGTTTAGGGTTTAATCCTAAAGCCTGTGCAGCTGCATCTGGCCTCGGGGAAGACCCCCCGAAGTCCTGTCCAGGTTTTGGCTCAGTGCTGCTTTGGTTGAATGGTTGGTTGGGGCTTTCGGCTCTTGTGAAAGACAAAAAAGCCTCAAAACCGTACCCTGACCTTGTGAACGATTGCTGTGGGTTCCACACGCCCACAATGTCTCACGGGAAGAAGACAAGATTGATACTCGCCAGAGTTGCAACCAGGAACCCGACTTGCGAGCGAGCCTACCTCCTGGTCTGTGACTCTCTTGGTAGCCCTGTAGCCATATTATGAAAATCATACCCGTTTTCGGGTTGGTTACTCTATATAAGGGACCTTTGATCCAAAAAAGGGAAAAGGGTACCATCGGGTTACCAAGCTCTTCCGTGAATAGCCCTGCAACGTAGCAGATTACCAATCTACTCACCTCTCTGTTGTCGCTGGACGTCTCTGGCCACGGGGCCTTGTGGACGTCGCAGATGAAGCAACGCCCGCCTGAAGGGCTGAGCTTGTTAAAAACCCAAAGCCATACTGAACTTGGCATACCAATCTCCAGCTTGCACTTGTCTCACTTGTCCTTTTCCACTTTGCTCGGTTTCTGCCAGCAATCGGCTGCGAAATGTCCTGGCTTCCGCATATGTAGCAAGTTGAGTCTTTTCCTTTTCCTTTCGAATCTCCGTAGCCTTTCCAACCTGCCTGATGCCTTTGCTTCCATATTTTCCTCGTCCTTTGCTACGGCCTCTTCCTTTTCCTTTTCCACGTCCTTTTCCGAATCCTCGACCTTGGCCATACTTTCCTTTTCCTTTGCCTTTTTCACGATCTTTGCCTTTTCCTTTTCCTTTTTCACGACCCTTTCCTTTTCCACCTTTTCCATAGTTTCCGTAGTACACTCGGTCAATCTCCATCGGGATCGGTCCCTGATAGCTCGAGCGCTTGCTCGACTGCTGTGAATTCGCGACTGCCAACGAAGACAGTATGTTTTCTGCAGACCAAGTCTGGCTTCTTTGCTCGTACTGCAACAATCGTGCTCTCATTTCTGCATAGGTCGTTTTGTCACGTACTGATATCGGTCTGGTGAAATTTATCCCTGACCTGGTAGGCAGCCTGTTCGTGGATGGCCGTGACGGTGGATCTAAGATCCGCATCCACCTGGTGAAGTTCCAGCGCCCTGTCTAGTTTTGCTCGGCTGGCTAAGGTCTACTGACAAGAGGCATCCCCCTGATTCACCCCGGATCTGTCCAGTTTCTTTTCTTTGTCTCGTTAAAAACCGATGTCCTCCCAGAGCCTTAAGGTCTTCTTTGATTTCCTGTATGCATGCATTGACTCTTGCCAATGCGTCCGATGTGTCCCTGGCAGGGAGGTATGCGTATTGTGGGGTGTGAGGAAATTAAAAGTTATTCCCAAGTGTCCCTAAGAAAGTCTCACAACGGGAGGGAGTATGAGGTGTGCTGGAACAGGCCTCGCAGTCTGAGCTGCCCGCATGGCCACGACGTTTTGCCCCGAGCATTCACAACTTGCAACACGTATACCCCTATAAACTCTAAATGTTTGGATAAGCTCTGAATCTGAACGGAACTTGGTTTCGGGTTCTTATGCGCTTAGGGTGCTTTAGCTCCTATTCCAGAGGAAGGGGAGGAGTAGGTAGAATGTCGCACGTGGTCTGTCACATCATCATAAAGAGTCCCGAAAGCCTGGACCCCTGAACCAGAATTAAACCTCATGAGTCTTCAAACCGTGCTCCAGCTACTCTGTGAGCCGACTGCAGATGATTCTGAAACCTCCACCTGCACTCTGCACATTGCTTGTTCAGGTATGGGGTTCTGGTTTAGGAGTTAGGAGCGAAGGGCCGGAGGTGAACTAATTCTCAGGCGTCGCATCAGTCGTCAGCTTAGGCGAGCATCCCCACCGACAGGCGCCTATATATGTACATTGTACATATATATATATACATATATATATAGATACAGAGATATGGAGATATAGATAGATAGATTCATATATATATATATATATACATATATATATATATATAAACTAAATCCCACAGGCCTTGTCAAATAGTTAAAATGATGATCCTACATTTGCAAATGCATGGGCAAGGACGTCCCACCACAACCAAAGCAATGGAGCTTCAACTCCATGCTGGTTCAGCTACATGAAGTGAGCTTGGGGTTTAGGGTTTAGGGTTTAGGGTTTAGGGTTTAGGGTTTAGGGTTTAGGGTTTAGGGTTCAGGGACAGATACCTCCAGCAACAACAATACCAACAAAAAGTCTACCAGTTTCATCTGCTGAAGGAAGGCCCCATATGCGCGACTGCCAAGACTCCGAGCTTGTGCTGCTGGATGCGATGCAACCAGGGGGGGGGGGGGGGGGGGAGGGGGGTCACTTTCCAAGTTTCCCGTCGCTCTGCAGGCTGTTAGCATCAGGTGTCCGTGCTTCATGTCTGAAGGTGCTGCTTTGGAAGCTGTCAAAGCTACAGCCCCACGATTCTGACATGAAGCTGAAGGAGAACTTCGAGGGTGCCGGGTCTGGTTGGGGAGCTTCGAACTCCAAACTCACCTGGGGCCCTCTTGCTGGTGTCATGACATGAGGGTTTAGGGTTTAGGGTTTAGGGTTTAGGGTTTAGGGTTTAGGGTTTAGGGTTTAGGGTTTACGGAACCAGCTGTCTAAGGTCGAAGGCCTTCCGGGGCTTCAAAAGTGCCGTCGCTTGGATGTTGCTTTGGGTGTCGGCTTGGTGGCATGCAGAAGGCGGATTACAGCGAGAAGGCCCTCTTGAGCTTAGGGGTGTCGTTGTTCAAGCATTCCCAATGCTTCTAGAGCTTGTTGAGCATTCGTGTCTGCCCCTGTGCCGAGCTGGGTTGCAAGAGGACCTGACAACTACTACACGCTGCATTCCTGCAAGAATCGAGAGAATTCCCGACACCCTAAACCCTAAAGCCCTAAACTCCTAAATTCGATCCTCAACCCAGGAACAAATCTTTCGTCCATGGCGCGTGGGCTTTTTTTCAGAAACCTTTGTGCTCACCGTTCTCGGGGACACATCAGTTTGTGGGCACATATGCACCCCTAGACCCTAACCCTAAACCCGACACCCTAAACCCTAAACCCCAAACCCTGACTGGCCATGCCCTCACGTGACGTGGATGTAGACATCTGCCTCAGCACACAGCAGCCTTTACAAGCCTTTTAACATGAGAAGAGATGTACAATAGCGTATCAATACGAATAACCTTATACTTCACGCTAACCTAATCAGAAAGCAATATAGTAGCACATATATATATATATATATGTATATATATATATGTATATATATATATATATTCATACAGCGATACACTAATTCTAGTTCTACATCTTAAGCCCTGTAAGCATCCCGAAGCCCGCAAGCGGAGCGCTGGCTGCACTCCTTCGACCTCCCCGCTCAGCTCTGCGCGTTCCGACGCGGAGCTGCCTGCTCCGTGCTCAAAGTTGCATGCGTGGCAACAAGTAGAGCACCAGGATTTTTTTGTGTAAGGTTGGTGTAAGGGGGGTATATGTATATTCTGATAATTTGTTCGAGAAGGGGGGAGGGGTTGGGGGGGGGGGGGGGGCAGGCTTTTGGGTGTTAGGGCTTGTGCGTAGCAGACAGAACCACTCCACCCGAACGGATGCATGCAGCACTGTGTTCCAAGCCATGTGTCTGGCGTTGTCTAGCACATGTTGCCGACCCTCACCCAGAAACATCTGTCGGAACTGTGGCTGGCTCACCGGATCTTGGAAGTATCCGTACTGCATCGCAATGTTTACCACGCCCAAGCCTCACATTCAAGCTCAGACATTGTACGCCGGCCTGCTACATGGGGGCTATTCTAGCTCTCAGAGTCCCTTTTTTGTGTGCATGTGGGGGGGGGGCCTCTTTGCAAGACAGCGTGCTGTGAAGGGCTACCGACAGCCCCTACATGCAGTCTCCGAGGCGCTGGCCACACATGTAGCAGCCCACAATGAAGGTGACCGTGTATGTGTCCAAGGACATGGCAAGGGTACCCTGGCATGCAGCAGAGACATGCTACCTTAAAGCTTTGGCCTTCATGGGATGCATAGCTAAGGTCCAAGAAATCACAGCACACATGTATACATATACAGTTGTATGTGTATATATGTATATCGTATGTGTACATAGACATCTTATTTAGCGCCGCGGAAGGTCTCCAGCGCACACAAACCCCCAAGCCCTAAGCTGCCCACAACAAATGCAAAAAGCGTGCGCCTGGAAGAGGTAGAAAAGACCGCGCCTCAGACATCAGACGTGATGACAGAATGCGCTGTGCCTCTTCTGCTCAGCCCAGCACTTAGGGGAGTTTAGGGTTTAGGCTTTGGGGTTTAGGGTTCAGGGCTTCTATGTCGAGGGTTGAAAGGAGACCGCCTAAGATCTCTGCACATGCTTGCCCCGTTCTTTCGGGGATTGAGCGTGGACTCAGCAGCCGTGATTTGGGAAGCCACCACCAAAGCCCTCAACCCTAGAACTTCATAAAGCTAAGACGCATGGGTCAGGGGGGGGGAGGGAGGGAGGTTGAGTAGGTTTGCTCAGGACTGTCATATAGGCTTCAGCACCCTAAACCCTAAACCCAAACCCTAGACCTAAACCCTATAACCCTAAAACCCTAAAACCCTAAACCCTCAACCCTAAGCGCGAGCATCTCAGCAAGTACTCTCAGGCTTGGGCCCACCACAGGTGTAAAGGAACCTGGCGTACTCCTGGATGAAGTCCCGTGCCTGCACATTTCAGGACCCGAAGCCGCAAACCCCAAACCCTAAACCCTACACCCTGAACCCTGGACCCTACACCCTAAACCCTAAATCCTGGACCTCTAACTCCACGCCCTAAACCTAGAACCCTATACCCGACTTTGCAGGCTGCTGGGCTGCATCTGAGAAAAAAGAGCCCCACGAAGCTCTGAGTAAGCTCTGGAAAACCTGCACGCACCCACCCTAAACCCTAAACCCTAAACCCCAAACCCCAAACCCTAAACCCTAAACCCAAAACCTTAAACCCTAAACCCTAAACCCAGGGCTTCGGGAGCTCATCCCGAAAACAAGATGGGACCATGATAGAAACCAAATCTCTGGACTCTCAACCCCGCCGAAGCCCAAGGCCCTAAGCTCTAAACCCCAGGCCCTAGGCCCCCGCAAGCCTCAAGCCTCAAGCCTCAAGCCTCAAGCCTCAACCCCTAAACCCACAAAGCTCAACTACCTCAAGAAAAAAGTAACTTAAACCAAAACCGAAACCATAAACCCCAAAACCCAGAAATACAAAACACCCAAAAGCCCTGAACCCTAAAGCCCTTCGAACTAGCCTGGGTGAGCTTGGCGTTGCTCGTGATCCATTCATCTGGCGCCTACTAGGAGGAACTGTTTTATATAGGAGCCTCAATAATTAGAATATATTTTTTTTGTGGGGGGGGGGGGGGTTATTGTAGTATATTAATAAAGGGATACTGCTAGTATTTATTCCGACCCCCCTATATTAGGCTTTGCATCTTCGTGCTGTTGGCAAGCAAGAAAGGATGTTCATAGGGTTCTGGGTTTGGGGGCGTAGGGTCTAAGGGAGGCTTGAGGTCTAGTGATTCGGGGTTGGGGTTTAAGGTTGCCTTTGTGTCTTCCTTCCTTGCGTTAGTTCTTCCGTTCAGTTGTGCTCCTACTTTTCTGTTTTCTTCTACTTTTGTGTTTTGAGGGTTTGTGGAGCTTGGAATTAGGGTCTGAGGGTGTAGGGCAGTGTGGGGCTTACTACGGTTTAGGTTTTAGGGATTTTGGGCTTCCAGACATACAAATCAAGGCCAAACAAAAGCAGGCGTAAACAAGAAAATGATCTATGATACCCTCAAGCGAGGATTCGGGTCTCACAGTGAGGCAAACCTGGCTGAGTTGTGCGTTAAGCCTTTTGAAAAATATTTATGAATATGGTTCCCGTATAAGGAAAGAAAGGGCAACTAAAAATTATCCCTAAGCTAGGGGCCTCAATTATTGGAATAGTGTTTTGGGGGGGTTATTACAGTATATTCAAAAATGGATCATCAAGCAACTCACGAACAAATCGGAGATGCAGAAGTCATGGAGGAGCCCGATAGTTCCTCTCAAGGAGTATACCCCAACGACTTCCTTGCTACTTTTGGCAGATTCTTGGGGTCGCTAAACCCTAAACCCTAAACCCTAAACCCTAAACCCTAAACCCTAAACCCTAAACCCTAAACCCTAAACCCTATAAACCCTAAACCCTAAACCCTAAACTCTACTTCAGTCCGCAGGTTCTTGGGGCCAGCCCTGCACTCGAAACCCTACACCCTTGGGAGGTGAGGCCTCCAGAAGGCAGACGACGACTCCGAAGACCGTCTGGTAGCCATTTACTACGTACCTCGCCGCTCACACCAGTGGCTATTCAGCCCTAATTAAACCCTAAACCCTAAACCCTAAACCCTAAACCCTAAATCCTAAATCCTAAACCCTAAACCCTAAAACCCTAAACCCTAAACCCTAAAGGAAGGATCCGTACAAAGAAGCAGTAGAAGTTCACAGGTGCTGTTTTGGGGCTACTTTGGTGTATGAAGTATTGGAATCCCTTCTGGCGGTTCAGGGTTTAGGGTTTAGGGATCTGGACCCCCTCCCAGGCTGGACCCCTATACACCCTCGACCCTCACCCCCCCCGCCCTACTCAACCCATGAAATCATCCAACCCAAATTCCCAAACCCTATGTCCTTGAACCCTAACCCAAACCCGAAGTCCTTGAACCCTAAACCCTAAACCGCGAAAACTATGCCCAAGAAAACTGTTCCCCCCCCCCCCCCCCGTGAGCTCTACTGCCTCCCACCTACAAAAACCTCCGAACGGTAAAGCCCCACCCTTCAGACATTCGGTTGTATAGGGCTTAGGGTTTAGTTGAGGGTTTAGGGTTCAACCCTAAACCCTAAACCCCAAACCCCAAACCCTAAACCCTAAACCCCAAACCCTGAACCCTGGACTGGGCGCACTCCAAGGGATCCAAGATGAGATCGGCGATGTTGAGGAAGCCCAAAAGACCGAGGGCTGGGTATCAGGTGCTCAGCAAACACCGGCAACACAACAGAAACGGGGTTAGGGTTTCGGGTTTAGGGTTAAGGTTTTGGGTTTTGCGTTTTGGGTTTGGGGTTTAGGGTTTAGGGTGTAGGGGGAACCGTTCTGCAAACTGGCAGGGCCCACCGATGCTAACGGCTCCACCCATAAAGGAAAGCCAGCCTCAAGCGCGAGCTCGGGAGCCGGAGATTTCTTCATTAGGGTTTAGGGTTTAGGGTTTAGGGTTTAGGGTTTAGGGTTTAGGGTTTAGGGTTTAGGGTTTAGGGTTTAGGGTTTGGGTTTCCGATATTAGGAGGTACCTTATTGGGGCCCTTCTTATAAGGGAATCCGAATAGTTGGGGTCTAGATTGGAGGTCCCTTATTCTCGTAAACACCGCCATATATAACTCCCCCCCGCCCCAAGAGGTGATTTAGTCTCGCAAATTCTGGCATCCTGTTCTAACCCCGCCCCAACATGTCGAACCTTAGAATGCCTGATTTGGGGCTAGGGGTAGCCAGTGGCGGCTAGTGCACCATAGTATGAGCTCCTACGAATGCTAGATATTGCATGGTTCAGGTAGGTTGAGGCTCAGACCAACCCCTTCTGGTCCACGCTGGACATACTCGCCCACCTCTCAGACACAAGTCTGCGTGGTTTAGATCTTCGTCGACAATCAGCCCTGCAAGGAGCCTGAAGTCCACCCTCAAGACACCCCCTAAACCCTAAACCCTAAACCCTGAACCCTGAACCCTGAGCCCTAAGCCCTAAACCTCCGAAAAAAGGATCCCCAATTCCCCCAAACCTGAAGAACTCTGAATTCCGGGGGAGGGAAGCCCCAAGCAAATTGGAGGGTGGAAAGTTCCGGGCTGAGAACACTTATCTTACTGGTTCTTCATAGGGAACGACGGAACTAGGGCCCCTATATCCCCACCCTGTTATAGGGCATATGGGGTGTTAGGGTTTAGGGGTTAAAGGGTTTGAAGGTTTGATGCTAATTAAGACTTGACGATGTAGGCGTTAGTGGGGTTGAATGATAAGAACTGAAGCTCCAGGGGCTGAATGGTAGGCCAGGGCTAGGGTTAACGACAAGGATGTTAAGGGCTAAGGGTTCAATGATCAACGGTTTAAAGGTTCACAGGTTAAGTGGTTCAAGCGGTTGAGGGTATAGCCATATGTGTAGTTCTCTAAATTAGGGTCCTCTTGGTCCTCCTCATAAGGTGCCGTACTATGTAGGGGACCCAAAAGGGACCCAAACTTAGAGAACAAATGGCTTTGGGGCTCACACGGGCATTATGGCGTTTCCTTTAGATTGTTCAGACCCTAAACCCTAAACCCGAAACCCGAAACCCTGAACCCTAAACCCTAAAAACGCCCTGAACATCCCACCACAACCGATCCTAAAGATGGGAAACCCACAACCCCTTCACTCTAAACCCTCAACCCCCTAAACCCTAAACTTTAAACCCTAAACCCCCTAAGCCCTAAACCCTGAACTCCCTAAGTAAACCCTAAACCCTTAAACCTTAAACTCGAAACTTTAAACCCACAACTGCAGGGCAGGTGGACCATGCCCGCCACGGCAGCACCATTTTTTAACGCGCTGCTGCTCACTTCCTGCCGGGAGGGTGGGGCTTTTCGGGCCTAGGGTTTAGGGTTTAGGGTTTAGGGTTTAGGGTTTAGGGTTTAGGGTTGCGGGCCCAGGGTTCAGGAATCATGGACCCTGTGCGATGTTTTGGGGGGTGCCCACAGCAAAAATGAAGGAATGGAGTATACTGGAAGGCGACAAAGGGCTCGTGATTCTGATCTAGATCAACCCGCACATCGCCTGGAGGCTTGCGGAGTGGATTGCACCCTTAACCCTACGCCCTACACCCCAAACTTAAACCCTTAAACCCTGAAACCCTTAACCCCTGAAACGCTAAACCCTAAACCCTAAACCCTGTGCTCCAACCTGACTCAAGATAGGCTTCCCTCCTCCTTGACCCAAAGCCCTCAACGCTGTCAAGGAGGAAAGCTCCAAGAGGCTGGGTCCATGACTGGAGGTCTAGGATGTAGGGCTCGATAGTCCATCAGATCCCATGCTCTCTCTTGGATCAAGAGAACCTTCAGCCCCAACTCCGAGGATTGCAGCGAAAAAAGGGGAAAAGTGCTGTAAAATGATCGCCTTGGCAAACTCCATGGCCACATTGGCCTGGCTGTCGGAGAGGTCCATCGCGTGCCTACCACACGGCAAGCGGGTCGATGAACCCCAACGCTCTACACCATCACCCGAAAGTCTCAAAGCCAACCAGAGAGCTCATAAACATAGAAGAAAAGAGTAGCAAGGTTCACCGTCGTCATAAAGTCCACTAAGACCAGATCACAGAACGACGGTGTCGGGATCTGCCTCCGGTAGGAAGTTTCAGATAAGTCACAGGCGCCTAAACACTAAGCTCCTAGGTAGAGCTACCCTCCAAGAGGCTGTGCTTTCCTGCTGCTGCTGCTGCGCGTTGCTTGCTCCAAGCGACTAATTCGTGGCACTGTTTGGGGTGCTGCTCTGATGATAATGATTCCTCTTCCTCCTATACCCTAAAGTCTCAAACCCTAACACACCTGATGTACGACATGTTGGCAACTTCAGACTGCGTGGGCAACCCAGAGTCCGGCAACCCAGAAAAATTCGGCGTCGGGCTTAGGGCTTAGGGCTTAAGCAACCCTAAACCCTAATTAAACATCAAACCCTAAAGCCCTAAAGCCCTGACCCTTAAGCACCCTTAACCTTGTCTGCGTGTAGTGTAGTGAGTTTCAAGTGAGAGCCAACGTCTCGGACTTACCCCGGGGCGCGCAGTCATCAAGGGTCTTCAGGGGCACCCTGAAGGTGCTAGGGTTGAGGGTTAGGGTTTAGGGTTGAGGGTCGAGGGTTGAGGGTTGAGGGTTTAGGGTTTAGGGTTTAGGGTTGCTGGTTTCGGGTTTAGGGTTTAGGGTTCAGGGTAGGATTGCAATCGGGCTCTTGGGTTTTGAGTTTGGGGTTTAGAGCTTCGGGGTCTCGAGCCACGGGTCGATGCTCGGGCGTTGGGTCCGTGGTTGAGGGATCCTGGAGATCGTGGTTCAAGTTTGCCACTCCAATCCTAAACACGAAAGCCTAAACCCAAAACCCTGAACCCTAAACCCTACGGAAACTTCGAGATTCTTCAAGGTGGCCGGCGCTCTTTTTCAGGCTCCTCTGCGCCATGGCGGACTTTGCCGCAGCGCCTTCTTCCCGTCCGTTTCTCTAAACAGAGAGGGTTTAGGGTTTAGGGTTTGGGGGTTTAGGGTTTAGGATTGATGGCTGACCGCTGCGTGCTGCGAAGCCATAGGTTTCGAGCTTAGGGTTTCGGGTAATACCCTAAACCCTCGACCACACCAAGATCGTCTCAAGACCCAGTTGCCAAGTAAGCGATGAGGTCCTCGCGGTCCTGCGAAGGGAGGCTTCAGTCCAAATGTGACCCTCTTGGCCCCCTAAACGCTGCAAGGCAGGGTCTTTTTTATTGTCTGTGGGTGAGTGTCTACTACAGGGCTCCTTATGAAGCTACCCTAAATCATGTGGCTCCTTGTGAAGCTACCCTGAATCATGTACAACCCTCGCCCTGGGCAGAATGTCACTACGCGCAGCTGGGCATTGCAAATGAAAGCGCGGTCCAAAGGCCTCCGTAGAATCCATGCCGCGAAAGGTCATACACGACCTGCAGAGAGGCTTCCGATGCCAGGGCGCAAAGTTGCTTTGGGGCCATGCCGCAGTCAATGCAACATGTGGGGGTTTCCGAGAAACAGGGGGTACCCTTTTTTTGGGGGCTCCTTTGAAAAGGATTATAGTACTTTGGGGTATATAAGGGGTACCCCTATTTTTAGAGATCCCCATGTGTCGCGCGGAACCTGTCGAAACCTACCACTGTGCTCCCAGCTCTGGTCACCAGTTATCCCAAACCTTATAAACCCAAGAAGCACTCCAATGCACCCTTCAACAAACCCTAGAATAACAACCCGTACGGTCCAATAAATCCTAACGCTCACACACAAAATGGGCCTGTCGCCGGTCTTTTGTGGCCTGGGATCTCACGCTCTCTCGGCTTCACATAGCTGTGGTCGGTTCTCGAATTTGAATGTCTTCTACCATTTTTTAAGGGAGGGGGGGGGGCTCCCAGGTTTAGGGTTTAGGGTTTAGGGTTTAGTAGTTTCGGGTTTAGGGTCTAAAGTTTAGCCGAAAAGGGCAAACTTAAAGTGAGAACTGGCCATGTTGCGTCCTTGACATCGAGGTTTAGAGCGCATGGTGAGGCCATATTGAATAGCAAGGGGTTGCAGATATGGTTTACGGCTCTTTGGGTGTTGGGTTAGGTTTTCGGGCTTTGGGGGATTTTAGGCCGCCCCCGCATGTCTGAAGAGCGACCACTTTCCAGGACAGAGTAGACGAGGTTTGGGATCCAGGGTTTAGGGTTTTAAAAAAACCAGTCGGAATTGCTAAGAAGCCAAAAGCAATGGCGCAGTAAACGTTCCCCCCCCCCCATGAACAGAAGGGGGAAGCCTCAACCCTATCAACTGCCTAAGTCCAGATTCCCCAGAGGAGGTTTCGGGTTGATCGGCTTCAGGGTCCCAGTGCAAACAGGGCTTGCTTGCCATCATCTTCACTGCGCTCGATGGCTTTGGATTGAGCGCATGCAGACAACCCGCAACACGCCTCGCGCCCCCAAAATCCTAAGTAAAAGCTAACCCCTGATCCCTGATTTTTCGAGGATTCTAGGCTTCCGTTTTGGACGCTGCGGCAACGGGACCTGATTTCTTTGAAGTCACCACTGGCAGCACAGGATTCTGCACAAAGCTCTGGGCGTTGACAATGCTCATTATCCTTTGAGCTGCCTCAGGCCCCATTTGCAGCCAAGCCTTCACTTGGGTTTAGGGTTTCGGGTTTGGAGTTTAGGGTTTAGGGTTTAGGTTTTATAGGGTTTAGGGTTTAGGATTTAGGGCTTAGGGTGATGTAGGAGTGAAGGTGATGAGCTATAAGCAACAAAGCCTAAGTCCCAACACACCAAGCCTCCACAATTAGCCTCAAGCACCCTTTAAGATATCTTAAGTACCTCCATTGAGGTGAAAACCGAGGCGCTCATTTAGGGATACCTGAGGGGCCCCACCTAACCAGCAAACCGAAACCCTAAACTCCAAACCCCGAAGGGCAGGGTTTAGGGTTTGGGGTTTGGGGTTTAGGGTTTAGGGTTCAGGGTTCAGGGTTCAGGGTTCAGGGTTCAGGGTTCAGGGTTCAGGGTTCAGGGTTCAGGGTTCAGGGTTTAGGGTTTAGGGTTTAGGGTTTAGGGTTTAGGGTTGAACAGCCTGCACGGCACGGACGGCGGCAGTCAGCACCGGCTTGAGTTTCTCCTCCTCGCTCTCTGTGAAAGCACCAGTGACGAACTCCTTGGAGTTCTTGCCGCCGATGCCCACCTAGGGTTGATGGGGTTTAGGCTTCAGGGTTTAGGTTTTAGGGTTTAGGGGTTTAGGGGTTTAGGGTTTAGGGTTTGGGACGGTTCAGTACCCTAGGAACGAAAAAGGTACAATGAAAAAGGGGGTCGCATGGGATTCACGCAAGCCTTCGGGCGAATAAGCCCTAACCCTAAACCCTCAACCCTGAACCCTGAACCCTGAACCCTAAACCCTAAACCCTAAACCCTAAACCCTAAACCCTAAACCTAAACCCGAAACCCTAAACCCTAAACCTCACAAACACAGGGGGAGGAGGCGGCAAAAAGAGTGTACCACCAGGGTCCTGGCCACACGAAGCCGGTGATATGCCTGCTTGCAAGAGAAAGCCGACTCGATTCCTTCCAAGCCTTGGCTGTTAGGGTTTAGGGTTTAGGGTTTAGGGTTTAGGGTTTAGGGTTTAGGGTTTAGGGTTTAGGGTTCTTTCAAGACCCCCCCCCCCCCCCCTTCCCTTTCCTTCACGAAATGGAAAAAAAAACTGCTGAGCCGTCTGGCAGCCCTTGTGGCCTCCGCTGGAGCCCTTCTCGCGAAAGCGGATCGACCCCAGGGGCAGCCAGCAGTCATCCACGACCGCGAGAAAGGGGGCGGACTCTTGGTTCAAGGAGCTGAGCGCGGCAAGGAGCTGGGGGCCTTACTCTAGCTTAGTTCCTTTAAAGGGGGGCAAGAAGTCACCCTTGAAGTCACCCTTGGGGGGCTTTTCGCGGCTTAGTTATAGGGCTTCAAAGCTCAAAAGGCTAAGGACTCAGCAGCTCAGGGGCCACTGTCATTGATCGGACGCTGGGGTTGCAGCACGAGCGCCCGGACCTCCCCAAAGTCCAGCCACTGGGCCCCCACGAGGTCCGGGCAGTCGGACTCCACCTTCTCCACCGACTCGGCTTCGGCCAGGAGGGCCGCCACAATTCGGGCGCCCAAACCTATACTCCCCTTAGAAAACCTTAATAAAAGCAATATGTTTAATATCCTCTTGGGTTTTATATATAAACAAGAACAAAAAAAATTCCCAAGGGGGATATAGAAACTGTGCCGCTCCCTTCGGCCGACGCCCTCGGGATTCCCAAGGCCGAGGATGGCAAGGACGCGGGGCTCCGGGCCTTCAGTGCGCGCCTTCTTCCGCGGGGGAGCCTCGTCGCTCATCTCTGGGGGGGGGGGGAATCCCAAGGTCAGCCTGCCTTTGGAGTCCCCTTGGATCAGCTCGAGCAAGCGGCACGATCGTGCAAAGGAGGAACAGTGAAAAAACACAAGCGTCGATACAAACTCATGGAATGACATATATATATATATATAACTTAGTTATTTATATATGTATATATACATATATCTATTTATTTATCCATTTATGTATGCAGAAATGCACGGACAGCAAACAGCTGTCTACACTAGGGCACTAGGGAGTGACCCAACTAGCCTCGCCCTCAGGTAGCCGCGACTGAGAATCAACAACCGTACGCTCGAATTACCCCTACTGAATGCCAGCAACCCTGAACCCAAACATCCTAAACCCTAAGCCCTAAACCCTACACCTTAAACCCTAAACTCTGAACCCTAAACCCTAAACCATACTTACTAAGAACCCGTAAGCCAGGGATAGGTGAGGGCAGCGCACAACATTGGCCGGACGCTCCAGCCAGGATGAAAGTGTAGCCTGCAGCTCAGCGTCGTCGGGCTTTAAGTTTAAACCCTAAACCCTAAACCCTGAACCCAAAACGCTTAAGGGCTTGTGGGGGATCAGGGTGTGTAGGGCGTTTTCCGTTTGAGGGGCTAGGGGTTTGTATGGGGTTGTAGGGTTATCAAGTTTAGGGCTACTTCAAGGCTCGATGTTTCAAAAGTTCTGCTTGCAAGGGCTTTAGGGCTTTAGGGTGCTGGAGGTTTTCAGGGTGGTCTTAGGGCTTGTGAATTGTGAAGTTTAAGGTTGGGCTTTTCGCCTTGTCGAGTTTTGGGGGGGGGGGGGGGGGGGGGGCTGCTGAGGGCTCTACGGAGATGTTGCCGACAGGGCGGAGGAAAAAGGACCTAATCCGAACTCGACATTCGTAGGAATAAAAGCGGGGAGCCTGCAAGCCCTCCTAAACCCAAAACCCTAAACCTAAACCCCACACCCCATATACCTAAACAGACTTGGCCCTTAAAACTTAAGATCGGAAGCCTCCGTCCAGGTCACCATGAACTCCTCGCAAAGGTGGTCTTACGTACACGCACCCGTGGCCGGGCTTTGCAGCGCCGTCTCCCACTCTTCCTTCTCTTCTTCTGAGGGTTTATCTTTGCCTTCCTTCCTTCCTCCCTTCCTTCCTTCCTTCCTTCCAGCGCAGGTGATCCCCTTCGGAGGGTTCATCTCGCTCTCGCTCTCTCTCTGTCTCTCTCTCTCTCTTGCCCTCCATCCCTCCCTCTGTCAAAACCTGCATCAAGGTCATGACTTGTGACAACCCTCAGCCATCATTGCGGAACCCCAAAAGACTGCTACGGTATCCTACGGAGCAGGCATATGGATGGCAAGAATGGCTGCGCATCCAGGCGATGTCCTGAAGGCGGAGATAGCTACCGCCCCATTCCTTCACCTGACGAGGCCGGGCTAGCAAAAGTAGTCACGTACGACTTGTGCAGCAGGGAGTTTAACATGGAAACAACCGTTTAGTTGAATCAAAGTCGTGCAAAGTAAGACAGATTTGGTATGAGGTATGAGGTAGTGCCAATAAATTTCAGGCTGCAGGGCGGACTGTTGGGGACAGAAGTGGGTGGAGGTGGCATTGGGTAGGTGGCGGCGGCTCTTCGATGTCATCCGAAACCTGAAAACCCCCGAAAAGCACCAAACACTAAACCCTAAACCCTAAACCCTAAACCCTGAACCCTAAACCCTAAAGCCCTAAACCCTAAAGCCCTAAACCCTAAAGCCCTAAACCCTAAACCCTAAAACCCTAAAACCCTAAACACTAACACCCAAAAAACCCTAAACTTGCCTTGGTCCCGGCGGCCGAGCCGACCACGCCGTAAAGATTCGGCCCGCGCACCGAGCCCCGCCCTGCGCACTCTGGAGTTCAAGACACAGGGTTTAGGGTTTAGGGTTTAGGGTTTAGGGTTTTGGGTTTTGGAGTTTGGGCTGGTGGAGTTTAGGATTCAGGGTGGTAGGGTTTCGGGGTTTAGGATTTGGGGTTGAAGGCCTTGAAGGTTGAAGCTTGAAGGTTTGGAGGCCTGGAGGTTTGGAGGCTCGGAACCTGGCTTGTCGGGGTTTGGTCGGTTTCAGGGCAGGGGCTTCGGAGCTTCTAACGTGAAGCCTTAGGGACTAGGATGCAGGGCTCACGGCCCCGGCCAAACTGAACCCGAAGCCCGAAACCCCAAACCCTCAACCCTGAACACCAGCTGACATGGGTTTATAGGAACAGGGCTTTGGGAGGTTCCCACCTTCTTCCTTGAACGTATGGCACTGTCCACCTCAGTTGGGTTAACCCGGCGGGAAAAGGCATGCACAAGCCATGCCATACATGCACAAGCAATGCAGAGAATAAGGGTGACACTTCATATTCGAAGTAGGGTACCTACTTACTTTATAAGGGAACCGTGAACCAAAACAAGGCAGAAGGGCTGGCCTGCCAAAGCTAAGGGCCTGGCAATGCTTCTTGAAGATTGCCTGCCTGATCGCTCATTCTTAGGGTAGTTCCATGGTCCCTTTGTATGGGCCCTAAAAGGGGACTCTCTATATCCCCCCTAAATACCCTGTACAACCCAAGGGCCCAGGCATCAGAACCTTTTTCTTTGAGAATCCTTTAAAGGAGGAAAGGGACCAGACTAAGGGCCCATGAAACTACATTTCGACTCTCACTTCAAGGCACAAACAAAAAGGCTAGGGTTCCTGGATGGGGTGCCGAAACCCCAAACCCTAAACCCCGTAAACTCTGAACCCTAGACCAAGGAGGGGAGTTGCAGCCATACAGCCCCCACACGGAACTGCAAACCTGTTCGGGATTGTTCGGGGCTTTTCGGACCCTGTGAACCCTAAACCCTAAACCCTAAACCCGGAACATTAATACCTGCTTCGACAAAGTCGCCCGCGGCGAATGTTGAATGGCGTTGCTGGCGCAGCGGCCGGTGGCGGCCTCAGGGAGCTAACTCCTGGAGGCAACCCTAAACCCTAAACCCTGAACCCCAAACCCTAAACCCTAAACCCTAAACCAAACCCTAAACCCTAAACCCTAAACCCCCAGCCCAGATGCTCTTAAGGCCTCAGGCGGCCCTGCAACACCCATGCCCAAAGCTCCCAAAGCCTTCACCAAACCCTTCACAAATACCCAAGGCACGTCTCATTCCTGACCCCCTATGGCTTTTTTGTGGGGGCCCAAAACAAGACATCACATGCCCAGGGCTCAGAAAAAAGTGGTCCCCAACAGGTCCCTGTTAAGTCCCCAAAACCCCAAAGCCCAAACCCTAAACCCCTAAACCCCAAACCCTAAACCCCAAACCCCAAAGCCCTTTCCGAGAGGTGGCGGCGGTGGCGGCGGGGGTGGCGGCGGGGGGATCGCAGCTTTCGTGCTCTTGGCGGCTTCTTCCATGGCGGACGTGAGGGCTTCAAGGTTCAGGTCTCTTTGTGAATCGTGGGGCTTTAGGGCTTTTCGGGTTGTAAGATTTTAGGGATCTAGATGCTTAGGCTGCTGAGGTTTTTCCGGGTTCTTGGTGGCTCGCATGGTCTTCTGGCTTAGGGCTGCTCTCCCCAAGCTTCGCATGATGGGGTTCTTGAGCCCTGCAACAGATATGCTCAACTCGATCAGCTGGGGATTATCGGGTTTGCGGCTTTAAGAACCCTAAACCCTAAACCCTAAACCCTAAACCCTAAACCCCTCACCCCTCAACCCGAAGCAAAGGCGCTCACTCCAAGCAAAGCGTACGGATGCTTCTGAGCGCCGAACCCGAAGGTGCAAGGCATTAGGGCCATTAGGGGTAGGGCTTAGGGTACTAAGGAAGTGTGAGGACTTTATAAGCCCCCTAAACCCTAAACCCTAAACCCGAAACCCTCAACCCCAAACCCTAAACCCCAAACCCTAGTGACCGCTGGTTCTTCTCCACAAGCCACCGAAGATCCAGGCGCCCTCGGGACGTGAAAAAGGTCGCAATCCCTGACCAGCGACATCGTCGATTTTCTATGACGTAGGCTCGTTTGGGATTGGCGGATGCTGTGTGACATTGGGCTCGTTAGGATTTTTGAAGATTATGCGTGATATGCGTTCATTTGGGGTTTTGGGGACAGGATCTGCTTCGTGAGCAGCCTTGACGGCAATGCTAAGGCTGGCCAGGACATGCGGGTGAAGCACTTGTCTGTTACCATACAACCTCTCATGTGCTTCCTACATTTTATCACAAAGAGCCACAAGAACGATATATACGTGCACTCTTCAGTTCTGTCCGCCTGTGTGCTGTTTCGGCTGGCATTCTTTGACTTTGCCTAGCTGAGCTGCGCGCCTCTTAACACTTCTACGCGGCGGTATGCCGCAGAGCCGAAAAGCGAAAGCTGGCACGAGCCCTTGTGGGGACTGTTCAAAAACAATAGGCCCTGTCTGCACTTGAACATCATCCCTCTTTTCAGGGGGGTTCAACAATGCCTGCACCAGAAGGAATCTACTACATACACTACAATAAATAGAGCCTCCCCAAAAAGGCCTATGATTCGAAACAATCCCCCTGTGGCTGGTGGAGAAGCCAATTGGCTCACATGTCCTCAGAGAAAAAGCTCATTGTCCTCACCAGCCTCAGCAACAGACCAGCTCCCCCAACCCCTGCGCCCTTTTCGGTTTAGAAGTTTCGGGTTTTAGGGTTTAGGGCGTTTGGGGGTTTAGGGTTTAGGGTTTAGGGTTTAGAGTTTATCCCCCCCCCCCCCTTAGATCCTGCATCTTCATCCCCCGACTTTCGACCTGTCCCATGGTTCCTTGTAAGGAGTTAGGGAAGTAGGGTTCATGGTGACAATCCCTTAAAGGGTAATAGGGTTTGGGGTTTGGGGTTTAGGGTTTAGGGTTTAGGGAGATATCAGGTGCCCAATTCCTAGCTCATTCCCCGGCCACTAAGAGCCAGCGAGCATGCAGCAGCTGAGGCCTTTTTGGGGGGCGGGCATTCTAAGGCTAGAGTGCTTCCATCACAAACAATCTTACGCCTTAGGGCTT